AAGACGGTAAGTGACAAACAGAAACGATCGAATTATTATGTGGAGTGTGTGCAGAACGTTAGATCACTAACAATAAAAAGGGAGAAGACTCCTCTTGTGTATCGCACTCGTCCAGCGATATTTGAATGGATTTGTGCGCACGGATTAAGGACTCCGATTTTTATTAAAGGGAGAAAATCATCGAGGCAATTAAAAAGTCAGTATATTTAATATCTTCCGTGTGAACGTACATATATTATAATTTATATGTATATTATTAATACGTACGCACAAAAATTATTTTAATTTTTCTTGACAAAAATATACTTGGTGGAAGCCGCTACCGCGTCTCCTGAACTGGTAGCAGATTTAATCAGAAAATGTTAATAAAATGTTAACATCTGACAACGCATTTTGTTTACGTTTTGTCGAAAACGTGAAATTGGTCATATATAATCTGATAGTAGATTGGTAGTAGAAAACGGACAGACTCTGCGGTTTTGTAAACATTCAAATTGTAATGAAAAAGTCTTTAAAAACGATGTTTTGATTCTAATCTTAATTTTATGGTAAACAAATAATTTTTAACTGTTTTATTAATAAAAATTAACATATTTATTATAATAACATTAAATTAAAGCATTTGATTCCGAGAATATTCTAATCTAAAGATATCATTAAATGATATATAAACGATGAAAATATATCGCTTGTTCTCTATATACCAGCGACAATTTTATAAGTACTGTATTTTTTAGCTTTTTGGTGCAAAACCATTATTTATCTTTTATATTAAAAGCATACATAATTAATAATTATGACATGCCCAAGTTTTGATTAAGTTGATTATATGTATAAACAGCTCGATAAATATTAAATGTGAGAAATGGTAACAAACACTATACCTAACGGCAATCTTGCAAGTATTCAGTGACAACGCAGATCCTGTTCGCTTTCAGCCGACAATCCGACAAGACTGCGGTTGAAAACAATCTGCTCAATTTCTGCTGTCATCAGATTGTATTGAATAGATCCTATCACCAATTTGCTATTATGTCAGCAGACTAGCTGCTTGGTTTCTGCAAATTTGCTGGCATAACATGGTACAGTAAGCCTTATCATATTTCTGTTGGCAGTTTGTTTTAATATCGTTAGATATTACAAAGGCTATGAAAGGTTGGCTGCTGTCATTCTGGCAGAAATCTTATTTCAGAGTACTTTGTGCATAATTTGTATATATGTATATCCAGATTTAACTGTTGCGAGTCTTAATTGTTTATGTAAATTAATCGAAATACAGTTAAATATTATAGATCATATATTTATTGTACAGTAGTATGCATATAATAAAATAATTGTATTGTATATGGATAATAAAAAATCTAAAATTATTTGGCATGTTCAACCTGATATACAGCGCGCGGCGCGCGGGAGACGTGAGCCGCAGTATTGATAAGCGTGCAGTTACCCCTACACTGCGCGGGGAAAGCAACCGCGGTTCGCGGCGAGCGGGCGTATCTCGCCGCGCCTTCAGATTCGTCGAGCTTTATATATTAATATCTCGAAAACTATTGCGAAGATCGCAAAATGGTAGAAAACTTTTTTGTTCAGTTTGGTCCATTCTATCTGCCCAAGAGCGCTACCATTGAGTAGCGGACACCCTGTATATTTATCATATTTATATTAAAAGTGTCTTCTTTCTCTTACGCAACATAGTTATATTCATTTAATATTTTAGACAAAATGACGGAAATAATTACCTTAGGATGGATCGACTATCTAGTTATAGCGGTGACGTTATGTATAAGTGCAGGAATTAGTATTTATTACAGATTTAGTGGAGGACGTC